CAAAACTAAAGTTACTCAAACCCTATTTATTGCTCAACCCTATCCACTACTAGCCAGGCATCCTGCTACTAGCACAGCTCAAAAAATTCAATTCCACTGTTCCACTGTGCCGTAATTSAACRAACCAATCAAATTGCTAAACCAAACGCGTAGTTAGAGTAGTAACTCRTCTCTCTCTCTCTCTCTCCCCACTTCCAACCAATCGACAAAATTGCCGTCACCGAATTCCACACAACCAGTCGGAATCGTACACAAACCTGAATTCAAAGTTTTCACCCAGGGAAACAGCAAATCGCAACTAAAAACCACCCAAACCAAACAGACAACCAACGGACAAGGTTGGACAAGGTTACCATCACTGAATATCGAATTAAAGCAGTGAGTCGACAGCAATGGCAACGTACGCAGCCCAATTCCACAAAGCCAGCCGAAGTCCGACCCAAACTTGAATTCGACATTTTCACACAAGGAGACAGCAAATCACAACCAAAGAAAACCCAAAACAAACCCAAAATCGGTATCCACTGGAAACCCGTTCCTAACCTATATAGCCTGGCAATTAGTCTAAATCGTAACGTTCGTAAAACACAGTCATAACCCGTCAAAGATCCAAAGACTAGGAAGTCGTGAGCAACACCACGTCCGAAGCAGGAGCATCTGCTACGATGGACAAACCGTGGTCGAGGCTGAAGCCCTGTGTCAGCAATTCGCCAACAGCTCTGGGCGATACCAATCACAGCGAGAATTCCATCATCTAGTCTCCCGGAAGTCGACGCTTGTCGATGTACTCTCTTCGTTCATCTCCAGCTCTTCATTCGGATGAAATTGCGTCCGCCGCCACAACACGATAGTGTTACGTATCTACAATCAGCGGGCAAAGCCCCTGATCGGGTAATAATTCTGATATGTACGGTGCACAGATCCTGCGCGCTGGCCGTCCCCACATCTCTCCCTTTCCTCCCACGACCAATCTAGGATTACCAACTATCGTTGACCACAACCAAGCATTACCAGCCCTTTTGCCTCAAGTGCAATTACAAACTCAAACCCTGACTGCGCTGTAGTTTTCTCTTTTTTTTTTTTTTTTGCTCTGAGAAATAGAACTTGAAATGTGAAATTCCGATATCGTGGTGGATCTGACAGGAACGCTTCCGCGTCTGTCGGATGGCCTGTTAGAGGCATCATGAGATACATGGGGATGAATGTATCCCTATAGCCATTACTTGTTTATCCTCGGCTGTGTTCGTAGACACATTTTATTGCCACGGTGCATCAGTATGAAGACTTACGTGAAGGAGATCGTACCAACCAATGAATTCGGGGGCACAGCTGTTCTTCATAGTTTTATGTGCTATTTCAATTCATTTTAAATAAAAAAACGATCCTTTCATGCAAATAAAAAATCACTCTGTATTTTCCAAAAAAACATAAAATTGCGTCACACATAGTAGAATACTTCGCTACACTAGCATTGTATGTGGAGTAGTGTAGAGGGTGTGTGACCCGCCTCCGCCGTCGATGGGAATGGGGATCGGTGGTTTTGTTTTTCCTGTATTTTAGCCCTCGAAAATATATGTTTTTTTGGAGCATCCCATTGGGTGGTCTTTCTTTTGTTTTGCTTGCCGTGTTCCTCTGGGGGTCCCGAACGTGAGTGAAAATCAGACCCATTTTTTTTGTGTTGCTTTTCACTCACCTTTCACTCACCTTTGGGTCGTGGCCCATGCGTGAAAGAGAGGCCGAAAACAAAATTTTCCGGTGTTTCCCATCATGAGGGAATGTCAGTCCGTGCTAGACCCTCGTCCAAGTTGTCTGTAGTCCCCGCAAATGTTTCACATGGGCAATGCTGTTGTCCTCTTCCTTTGACATGCATGTGCCCCCTTATTTTTTGGGAGGAGTTTGGGAGGGTTCGATCCCCTCACCTACAGCAAATGGTGTATGGAGTTACTCTTGCCCTTGTTTTTTTACGTTTATTTTCCCTATTTCACGCTGCCACCCACCTGTCCCCCACCCGTCCCCCACCCGTCACACTAATCCACATACCTGGCTAGTGGGATCCCCCTCCAGGCCCCAGGGAGCACGCGTAACGAACACCAATGAGCACCGAAAAAAGAAAAAAAAAGTCAAAAAAAAACAAACAAGTCTCTATCGATATCAGAAGTCAAGAAAGACAATAGACTGCCTTGGACACACTCGTGAGGATTCGTGAGAGTTGGAGGGGGATTCATGGGTCCTTGCAAGGACCCATGAAAATTGAGGTGCTGCAGGTGGGGTGCCACAACCTCCCCACGAACCACAGTTTGCTTTTCCTTACGACGAGGACCTGACACCTTGCGAGTTCTTTTTCACTATTGAGATTCGTGTGACCGTGTGGTGGTGTGAACTTGAACACTGTACGAGCTCGTGAAAGTTTTCGGTTCGTGTGCCGTGTGGCGAGGCCAAGAGGCTTGTTGCTTCTAAGGGCATAGCCACACCACTCTCGAAATGTGAAAAAGACAAAAATGTGGCGGATGCATTGGCCATGTTCTAGCGGGAAGTTCATTCTCATTTTGCACATCTCAAGAATGGTGTGGCGATGCCCTAAAACAGAAACCAAAAAAAAGGGAAAAAAACTGACGATTTCTTGTGGTTTCCTCCCCCTTATCACGGCAGGAGGGTGCCTGACATCACTGAGGGGACAAAAAAACTGGCGATTTCTTGTTGTTTCCTCCCCCTTATCACGGCAGGAGGGCGCCTGACATCACTGAGGGGATGTTATGTCCCCGCCAGTGGCGGGCTTAAGGCAATATATATATATATATATTTTTATTATTATTTTTTTCTTTTTTTCTTTTTCTTTTTTTTCTTTTTTTTTTGTTCAAGAAACCCCCACCGGTGCTAGTGGTGCTGATATGAGCAGACACCACTACCACTCGGGGAGAGGCTCCATCTATTGGTGGGGAGCATCACCTGCTGGAAAACGGGTCCAGCGTCCCTTTTACAGAATGTAATCAGAGAACATCAGAGAAACAATCCTGCCAGCATTGATTACCCTGGATTACAGGGGATTGACTGAGGAGGACGTTGGAAAAAAAAACTTGGGAGAACGATTTTTAGAACAATAACTGGAGGAAACCTGCCAGTATTGCCTGCTCTGGACTCCAGAACTGGTTGTGAAGGCTCTCTAACTGTAATCACTAAACCAGCTTTCCATAATCTGCAGACGCCATGGGCCTGGAAACAGCAGCCCTTATGCAGAAAGGTGCCTGAGATGTGTGGGCGAGGAGCAGGAGTCCAGCTGATCCCCTTCTCCTTCTTCAACCCTTCATCTGGTCAGGGTACCGGGAGGAGCCATTGGGCGGCACCAGTGGGTCCTCCCGTCACCCGGCCCTTCCTTGAACAGTCCCCTTGCAACCATGCAACCATGCAGTCATCTGCCTGGTGTATCTTTCATCTTCTTTCAAATTCTTCCAATTCACCTTCACTACCTACCTACCACTACTCCTAATGCTTAGACAGGGGACCCCTGCAAACCTAGCTTTGTTGTCTCCCTCCAGCCATCAGTCTGAGAGGGGATGCATGCTGCGCCCCGCCCTAACCATGGTGGTCAAGGATGGGGTGGGGCTGCCTGTGGGGGTCCGGCGAACGCAAAGACCGAGCATTTTGCCAGTAGCTGCGCCTCCCTTTTCATCGTCCTCCGCCCCCAACCGAATAACAGCACTGTCTAGGGCCAACACTCTCCCACACACCACACACAACCCACTGACACTCACACTCACACCTGTGTTGGCCAAGGACCATGCTATTACCATGTTGGCCAAGGACCATGCTATTACCGATCAGAGGTATCAAGCGGCATATCACCGCTGGTTAGTACTAAGTGCGCCGCAGGCCGTTTTGGGGCTCGAACCCACAACCTCCTGAATGCCACATGCGTGCCTAACCAATTGAGCTAGGCCACTGGATGGGCTTACGGCACTACCCACACTCATATCTTTTTTCTTTTTTCTTTTTTGGGATAATTTGCAAAATACCCCCATAAGTTGAGATCTATGCCAAAATGCCCCTGAAAGATGTGGGTAGAGCCGAATGCCCTTTTGGGCCGAGATCTTTGTGTTGTGCCCCTGTCAGGCGGGTGTGCAACTTTGCAATCTGGACCGCCTGGTTTGGGCCTTGGCCTTTTGCAATAGCGCCTAGGAAAAGTTGGCAAGTACCGGGGCATGGTGCAAAGTTGGACGGTACCCGGTAGGGGTATACTGCAAAGATGGAGGTCCAACCGACGCTAGGGGCATTTCACAATTTTTTTTTTTGTCAGAGGGGTATTCCGCTCTTAGCTCTACCCTCATCCATTAGGGGCATTTTGGCATATATCTCAAGATTCTCAACTTATGGGGGTATTTTGCAAATTATCCCATCTTTATTTTTAAGTTTTTTTTTTCCTTTTCTTTTTTTTTCTTTTTTTTTTTTGGGCCGTACTTTGTTTTCTTTTTCTTTCTTCTTTCCCCTCTTCTTTTTTTGCCTGTATTTTGTTTTTCTGGGTCTGCCCTATGTGTTCTGGCTCTTCACAATCCTTTTCCACGCGCCAAGTGGCGGGCCTCAGAAGTTCTTTTTGTTGTTTTAATTCTTTTCGTTTTTTGTCTCTTTTCAAAGCTCGCACTCTAGCTTTCTGAGTCTGGCCGTGTTTGTTGTTTTCACATATGGTGCCCGCCTACCCATTGTACCCCTTAAATTTTTTTGGCCTACCAGCCCTTTGCCCCAAAGCTCTACCGGCTGCAGTTTACTGCAATAGCAGGGACAGGCAGGGGCGTGAACTGGTGGTAAAGAACGGCACAGAACTCACAAATGTGTGTACGTGTGTGCAAGCGAGATAGCGAGCGAGCAACCGAGAGCCACACACACACACACACACACACACACACACACACAGACAGACAGACAGACACAGAGAGAGAGAGAGAGAGAGAGAGAGA